AGAGAGAGAAAGAGAGAGAAAGAGAGAGAAAGAGAGAGAAAGAGAGATGCATACGAGAAATTCTGCCGCATCAATTGAAAAGCAACGCTCAACACAACCTTTTTATTTCATCGTTGGATCCATTTGAAACCACATAACGACCGGAAAGTACTCTCCCAAATATCCATACACATATCCACTTCAGACGAACAAATGACGCTCTAATACACTTGGTCTTCGGTTTTGCCTTCATTTTATTAGTTTACTATTAACAGTCTATTTGTGATTCGAGAATGAGACACAGACTGGGAGGTCGGGAAAAAATGTAACTACGACTTTAGTAGGAAAAGAAATGAAATTGATCGAATTCGTTATACGGTGATCTAGCATGAGTTCTAATCAAAAGGCAAGCACTGTGTTCACGTTGCACAAGTCTATCCATGTTGAAATCGTTGACGGCTTAAAGTAGGTGATATACTTGCCGCGGTTTTTTCTCCGGCATTTTCGTAGTGCAATTAGCATTGAAAGCATACGATGCTTCAGGATTACATGCTAGTTATCTTTACTAGTTGCATCATTTCAAACAGTTGCTGTACATTCGGTATCCATCTCTGTTTTGCTTATGAACCAACCACATGGTTTGTGTGGATGTGATAATTACATGTGTACAATATGAGCAAACTCATTTTTATTTATTGGTCACAACGCATGCCACTATTACCAGTTGTCTGTGTCAGCAATAGCCATCAATTTCATTTTGCCGGGGCTAAACTCGATTGTGTGACATTCAGCATTAGTGTTTGCCGACGGTTTCGTGTAAATTGAATCATTTTGAGATAAGAACGGATTGTTCCACTGAACGCTCCCTTTCGTCGTTCATTTCGCGTGCACAAAATCGATTTGATTTTTTTTTTCGTTCTCACAATTAATGGAAAATGATTTACAAAACGAACTCATTTGCTATAAAAGCAATTTTGTTCTCACCCATCCATATTTCGTGTAGCTCGTCTTAGTGCTCTGTTTGCAGTGAACGGTTTGATTCCATGAAATAGTGACCACAAAAGCAGAAACGAGTGTTAAAAGTCAATGTGCAATATTGTGATATTTCTGTGGTATTATTCTTCGTTGTTAAAAAAAGACGAGAGAAAAAGCAAGCAATAAAGTTTAGTTTTTCTTCAACGACTGTTGGCAGCTCTATGGAAATGAAGCATTTACATGCACATTTGCCATTTGTTCTCGGTCTGCAATGACTCGTTCAGCAACAATAGCAACAAAATCAACCTTAGCTAGACTCAGATCATTTTCTCAACAAATAACTTTTCATGTGAACAATAAATCCCCCGAACTGCAGCTTGAAAACGGATGATTATAATCGGAGAATGGTTGGCGGAAAGAGAGTGAAAATAATGGTATTTATAATAATGAAAATAAAGAAGCCAACTCATTTTCCAATTGTACGGTATTAAATATCGTTTCACTTTAAAATAATACAGCTATTATATAATGTTACACTGTTTATTTGTTTATTGTGTACGGAGCGGCCAAAAAAGCATTACAGCTCCATACGGTTTGGTTTTTTTTCCCTTGAATATTTGACCGTTATCAGGCATAACCAATCGCGTTTACTGTGCATACGACCCAAATGCATAAGTTGCTGTGTTCATTTGTTCTGCTCATTTTTCCTCCCCACTGCGTTTCGACTTTGTTCATTTTTTTTAAAATTTTATTACAATGTATCCAGTATTTTCTCTGTTTTATGATAGTTCAGCGATAATGAGAAAAAAAAATTATTAATTGCATGGATGAAAGTAAAGCTGCATTGGTTTCAGCCATCAAAATGTACCGTGTACAATGTAAATTGTACATGAAAACCTCCAACCAACTTTGAATCTTGCACCGGAGCAAAAACATGTTAAAACGAAAATTAATTTCAATGTATCCATTTTCATGTTTAATTTTTCATGATTGAAAATTATTTCGCATATGCGTGCAAAACGCAATTGTTCAAGCGATAAAAGCTTATCTGGATTGGGTAGTTGGACAAATGAAGACGGTAAAATTAACCGATAAATATTGGATTTGTCGGTTAATTTCACACTCTCTATCACACCCACACTGCATGAACCTACTTCAAATTGTGACCGCATTGGACAAGCACATAACAAACCAACTCAGGTGCGATCAAGCACAATACAAACTGAAAATGACATGAAACCCATCCTTATGCGCACTTTAAATGTATTGTCATTAGATCTTGGTTAGTAACCAACGTCCCGTTTTCGATGAAATACAATGCCATGGCTCATCTCACAAAATATAATAAACGAAAAAAAGAAACGACACAGCCGAACTTCGAATCAATACACTGGATTTACATATTTATAACGTTGCATATGT